AATTACCTAATCAATTAATTAAATTGCCCAAAACAAAATTTTAAATTGTGCTTACCTGTCATTTAACTGTCATAGTAGAAAACAGTTCTACATGCCATTGACAAATGGTGAATATATGCTGTACACAACTGTGAGTGAGTATACTTAGATTGACTTAAGAAAAACATTCAATTTCAGACTAAATATTCTTTCTCCCAAAGTGTATCTACAGCAGTAAGCTGAGCCCTTTAACTTATATCAAAGTAGCATTTAGAAAATTAAGTATTTTTCTGTCAGTTCTCCGAGAAGCACAAAAGCAAAAGAGAATATCTAACACTTTTTTTTGGCAGCGAAATTACTTCATATAATTTAGATAAGAAATGAATGTCATTATGTGTGCTGATAATTGTGAAGAAGATAAAAGAAAAAAGAAGATCCTAGAATTTTTTAAATAAAAATACAATTCCAAAAGGCAATAGAAATCACAATGCATACATATAGGAATGCGGTAAGGAAAAAAAGTTCCAGTTAGAACTGACTAAATTTTTTTTTAAAGTGTGAAGCTCAAAACTAATAAAGGGATTTTCCTGTTAGCTAGAGATGAAACCATTAAGGACTATCAAGTTTTTCCCTTCCATCCTTTATTGAAGTGTTTATTTTTTAAGTTTTGAAACACTTCCTTGATTTAACATGTGCAACAATCAAAATATAAAACAAGTAGATAATGTCATTTAAGAGGGTCGGAGCAACCATTATGATATAAATATTTATTATGTAAGAATGCAAATATATATAGATATCCTATGATAATGGAAATGTAGCTGAACATCTAAAACCATATCTTAAAGATGTTTTTTCTAAATTAAATCCCAATTATCAAAATGGTTTAAAAACTCCCATTGAATTTGTTCATTCAATTCCATTTACTTTTGGCTAACCTAAAAGTAAATCAATCTGCAAATATTTATCAACTATCTACTATGTGCTAGGTAATAAGGTTACACTGGGGAGGGAAAAAAAGAGGTAGCCCCTGCTATTTATTTTATATGCCCTAATATTAACCAATATATACACTTCCAGAATCTTACAGAAGTGATATTTCTTAATAAAAATATTTCCCAAAATATTCATTTGGAATCAACAACTTGTAATTTAATAATATTCCAAAGAGAAGTTCTAATAACAGAGAAGGTTATCTGGCACAGAAATATGCCAGCAAAAATGAAATAGACATAATCTATTTCAGTAATCTTACATCGCACTGCCAAAATATAGAATTTAATGTTCTTACATAATGCTCAAAGTATTTTTCTTTTAATCTATTCCCGATTGCCTTTATTATATTAAAAAAAAAAGAATTGATTTTTATATCACTTGGCATTTTATGTGCTTTGATAGAGTACATTTTGCTTTATTAAACCACAATGTGTTTAGGCAGCACTAAAGTATTAAAATATGCGTCTTAAAAGTGAAGAGATTTCTTGCCAACAGTTTTAACTCCCCCAAATAATCAGAGGTCTAAAAATACAACAGTAACTGGTAAACTTGTACAATATACAAGTTTAAATGTCCTGTCGTGACCTTTTACATCCCCCCAAAATATATCAGTAACTTTACCCTAATTATAATTGGAGTATCTATAAATATATAAATACATAGATATTATGTATTAATATAAATACAATATATAATTTCACCAAGAACATGTCGACTTATTTAAGCTCATTGAGAGTAATAGGTAAGCAAAACTATAAAAACCTTCATGTGGGGCCGGCCCGGTGGCGCACTGCTACAGTGCACCGCTTGGGAGCGCGGCGGTGCTCCCGCCGAGGGTTCGGATCCCACATACAGACCGGTTCCCGCTCACTGGCTGAGCGAGGTGCGGGTGCAGCACTGAGGGTTGCAATCCCGTTGCTGGTCCCGGTCCGGTACGGGCGTGACACTGAGGGTTGCGATCCGTTGCCAGACACGAAAAAAAGACAAAAAGGAAAAA